TATCCCATCTTCCTTGCATCCTGTCCTGTGTTGTTCCTGTTGTCAAGTTCATGCATGTCCATATCTATGCTTTTGCTTAACATAATTATTGTTTGTAATTTTTTAATACAATTTATTAATCATTAATTTTAATTTAAAAAATGATAAATACCTTGTCTTGGCTAGAATTGGAAGCCTGGAACCTCCAGTTAGTAAGACTTAGTAAGTATTGCAGTTGACCCAAGCATAGCTAGATAAAAAAATTGCTTGCTTTTCCCAGTTCTGAGATCTGAGCATGCGCGACCACACCCAAAATTAAAGCACATGTTTCTTTAATTAACAAAATGGCGGCATGCAGCTAAGATGGTACGATCCAGCAATCATAGTATCACTTCTTCCTTTCTTGGATATTAATCTGATGGGACATGGACCTGCGCATAGACTGTTGGAGTTGAATGGTGTAAGAATTATCAGTGTAGCACCAGCCAATATTGAGATACACACCGACAACTGGATTGACAGGAGAAATGATGATGACTAAGATGAAAAAAGGTGGCTGAACAAAACAGCCGTTTTGCCGATTTTTTACTCTCCTCTTAGAAAAGGCTTAGAGCCACGCTAGTGGTACCAATGGAGTCCTCTGGTTAAGATGAGGTCCTCTAAGAAGTCTGGTAAGCATAGGAGCTCGTTTCCCCGGTATAGCAAGGCTGCAAAAGTTGTGGCAGCCATTTTGTTTTGGGGTGAATCCTACTTAGTAACGCTACCGCGTTACTAATAAAAAATAATTTTCATGGATAAAATTTTCACGAATTTTTTTAAATTGCAAAATTAGTGAAATTAAACCCCCGTGAAATATACCCCCTATACTGTATTGTACCATCCTCCTCATCTCTCTCTTTTATATCCCTTTTTTAATTATTTTCTAATCATTTTTATTTACATGTAATTATTTATTGTAGGCCTAATCTAGTTCCTAATCAGTTTGGTGCTCAGCAGTATTTAACTAACACAGCCATTAATACTGGTTTTTTTCTACATCAGTAAGCATACATTCATGTAATAGTATTGATTGTAGGCTTCGGCCAGTAATAATCATACTCCTCCACTAATTATACTCTCTTCCTAGAGCTGTGAACCGGTTATAGGTTAACCGGTTAACTGAATGGTTGTAGCATAATTTCAGGTTATCAGTTATTTTTAACTATAACCAGTTCTATAAAATTAATGATTTTATGCACTGTGAAGTTAAAATTTAATCAAATTTTAAGCAGAAACACTTCTAATTTCTAGTAAATTGACGTTTGTGACCCACAAGACAATGCAATATATCATTGAAAGAGCATATAAGTTGTGTTGGTCAACTAAATCAAACTCTACAATTTATTATTTATTGTAATTCTTACTATTCTTACTTATTTATAGTAGTATTATTAAGTTTCATTCAACATTCAGTTAACCGATTAACCGTCAGTTATTGGTGACCAGTTAACCGGTTATGCTAAAGGGTCCAGGTTCACAGCTCTATCTCTTCCCTCTCCTTTCCTTCTCTCTTCTCTCACAGAGCTTATCAATCCTTCCTATATATGCTGCACGGTTTGCTCTGAATCAAACATTTTTAGATTTAATGCCTCGTCAACGATACCATCATGGTAACACTAACACTTATTATTATTATCATCATCATTATTTTTTATTATTATTATTATTATTATTATTATTATTATTATTATTATTATTATTATTATTATTATTATTATATAGTTTATATTTTATTTTTAGTTGTGTAAAGATTGTCCTTCAAAGATGGCTACCGCTTGGCAAGTTGGTGTTCATTATGAAATACAGTGTTCTCTTGATCCCACTGCTCTTATGACTGATGGCTCTAGCCCTATATTCTATGATATATGTATCCTAAGAACTCAACTAGTTTTATGGCTTCACTCTAGAGGGTGTATACATTGAATTAATTATAATATGTTGCATAAGATGTCAAAGATGGTAATATGTTGGTGCCCATTCCAGTCTTAATCAGTGGTTATAGGAACAATAATGGTGTCCTTGTTAATGAAGGTATGTGTAAATGAAAGTGCGTTGATACAATAATAATAATTATTATTATTATGTACACTATCCTATCATTGTAGTAATAGGCAGTAGATAGTTGACACATGTAGGTTATAATTATTTACTTTCATTACATGTAGTGTTTATTGATTGTGTTTATTTTAGGTGATGATAGCTCTCAGTGGCAGTTTGTGAGACGTTTCTATACCCACCAGTCAGTCACTGGATCTCTATCATATCTTGAATACACTGAAATCAAGTAAATTTGGAATTAGCCTAAACTTTAAATTCCTCAAAAATTCAATTTTAAATGAGAAATCAGCTCAGAGTTTATATACAACATAAAGACATGTACCATATAACAGGAAATTTTGGAGGGAGCTAAATTTGGTGAATAGCTAAATTTTGGTGATTGCCGACTTTTAATTTGGTGAAATTTGTGGCCATATGCCATTGAGCATGCACATAATGGCTCAAAATGGTGGATTTTTATTTTGGCGAATGGCTATCAAAACGTCAAATTTGCCAAATTTAGCTATCTCCAAAATTTCCTTCTATGTGGTATATGCATCAGGAAAGAATTATTAAATGGAGAATCCTTTCCTTTTTATTTTTGACAAAATTTGGCCACAGACGATCTTTGACCAGATATTTTGAGCAACTTATAAAAATCGAATTTTGAACAGAATCGGTTCAAAGTTTGTAAACAACATAAGTTTAAGTACTTGTACAGGTACATGTATATATATGCATCAGAAAATGTAAAGAATTGAAACTACATACTGTAACAGCCCAGCCTATATGATCTAATTGAAACTGGTTGCATACATCATAATGACATTGTTAGGCTAATATAATTTACATGTATCATTGTACATTTTCAGTATACAGTTAACCAGTCATGGTCACATTCAGTCTCCATATCTTAGACTGTCCTATCAGGCTATACCTACCAATGATGCACAAGTTAGCTCACTTCCATTTCTA